TTCCGAAAACCCCAAAACCCCAAAACCCCGAGTAATAGAATTACGCCTTATTTAGGCAACAGATTTTAAGATAACTTATTAAATTTTATTATGGAATCATAGGATGCAAAAGATCTGAGAAAATAGATAAGTGGTTTGATCACATTCAACTAACTAGATGAAAATAGTGCACTGCTCTCATTTGATTTTCAAATGTAGAAGAAGTAGTTCGATGAATACTAAATTTAGCGAACTTAATACAGTCAGTTGGTTGTCATCTTAGATGCTAGTGCTAAAATGGATGAAGCTCAATTCTCAATCATCAAAGAAAAACTCAAGCTGTTCTTAAAAGCATATGAGAAAGAAAATCCTCTTAGACCCTCACCCATTTTACTTGCCTGTAATGATAAGATAGTGAGGCTTAAATATACAAAGGCTGAAATATTTAATGCAGAATTGGATGGTATAACACCAAAGAAATCTTTGAATATTGATAAAGCCTTACTCACGATTTTAGAAGATTCAAACTGGTATTGAGAAATGAATTTGATATTTATCTTGAATTCCATCAATTGCTTTGAAGAGAAAACTAAATCAGTAATTGCTAAGATGAAGAATAAGATATAGTCCTACTTCAAGTATTGTTGCGTCTAAATGCTTATTATATCTGATGATTTCACTGCGAATTGTAATCTGGATATTCTAGATATAGGCACCTCAAGAGGCAAATTTTACGCAGTGACTGATGTTTTATCTCAGCTGTTTCATAATGACTAGATGTATAAGGAGATGTTTGAAGAGAGGATTAGCAACTTTATGCGAGACGCTTTAATTTAGACTCGTATTTAAGATGGACTTCTGATTAGGTTTGGGCAAATATAGATATATTTGGACACAGTTTAACAATTTAAAGAGTATTATCAGTGCTTCAAGGATGGCATTGTTGTAATGACAAATGATCTCGATTTCATTCAGAGTAAAGACTTACTAAGAAGATTCCAAGTAGCTGTAGAGGTGTTCTAAAAGCCATTTAAGTTAATTAAAGTGAATTATGAACCGGAGAGGAAATTTGTAATTGTTAGAGATCATCACTATATTTATTCAAGTATAATGAGAATGGATCTAAATTAATCTCCTGACTTAATCCTCCATGAAGCTTAGTAAGCTCTTCAAAAATTATCTTAAAAAGCAAGAATTTCAATGAACGATATAAAACAAACTTAGTACTTATTTGAGAAAAGCTTACTTAATCATTACCTTTAAGAGATGGTTAAGATAATAAGCAATAATCTTAATCTTAGGGAATTTTTTCCGGAAGATTGGATTTAATTGCAGGTTATAAAGAATAAGATAATTTTGAGGAAATAGCAGATGAGCAACAGGATTTATCTTGATGAAATCAAAGCAAGTATTGATAATGTAGTAGTTTAAGAATATCTGGACTACTTAAGTTATTGTAATGGACTGTAGTACATTTAAATAATCTATAGGAAAAGCACAATGCAAAAATATTCGAAGCTAGTTGAAATTCTCAAGTCTAATATTAGTTCCAAAATATCTAGTATTACTGAAGATGTTTACAGTGCATTTGATGCACAAGAAAATACTATTTGCGTGAATCTTTCCTTCCTTGATAAGCAGTTTTTGTAAGGTTTGAAAAAGATCAGCACATCTAAAAAGACAGTTTATAGTGCGAAAGTCTAAAAATAAGAATAATAGCCTTTATATGTAAAGAAAAAATCAGATAGTAATAATTTACCTATTCAAATTAAACAGCAGAATGAAATATAATAGGAAAAAATCGTAGAATAATAAAAAAGCAATGAAGAATAAAATTAGAATAACCCTAGTATCATATAATAAATATAGGTAAAAAATGATGAGCATTAATAAGAGAAAGAAATCCATTTTAATGAACTATAATTAAATGTAAATGATTAAAAACATTTGGCCGAGGAAATTTAAAAAGAAGTAGACCTAGAAAAATTGTCAAATAAAGAAAAGGTTTAAAATGCTATTTTGGATGAATAATTTTAGGATTCAAAGATTATGAAAGTTATTAATAATCCCAAACAAGAAATTATAATGGAAAATTAAAAGACTTTAATAGATATCAAAAAAAATTTATTGAAATGTGAATCTTTTTTTCCTACATAAAAATAAAAAAAAGATAAAAACTTAGAGCTTGATAAAGAGTAAAAAATCAAATAAGAAGAAAAAGTAATCGATCAAGTACCTAAGCAATAAGTTCCCCCAGTAGCTGCGGCAGCTAAGTATAATAAATTTTTAGAAGAGGAAAAAGGAAATTAAATATAGGAGGAACAAAGTTAATTCAACTATAATTTTGAATAGCTTTATGATAGTACAAGCAAAGTCTGCTAATAGTGCCATTTAATCTAAGATTAAAGATTATAATTTAATAATTAGACTAATATTAAAAAGAGGCTTGATTAGACTATTTTTTCAATTGACTTTAATTCTAAAAATAAAGTAAATTAGAAACCAATAATCAGATTTACTTAAAGCCATTAATATCAGCCATCAAATGAAGAAATAAAGCAATACTCTTAATGTAACGATAAATGCCCCTGTCCAAAGGAATGTATGCTTGAATATAAAATGGCAGCAGAAAATTATAGTAATTTAGTTTTAAATAATCTACCAATCAAATTGAAATATAAAGAATGGCTTTTAATGGAGAAGTACAGAGAAGGTATTCGATAGGAGTCTTTATATCTCCTTCATACTCCTGAAATAGTGGAGTATTACAAGATGACTTTAATTGTTCAACAAGATGTGGTATTTAATCCTTTTAATGGAAGAATATTTAAAATATACAAAAAGGATAAAAGCGATATACGTTTAAGCAATGATAATGCAGGAAAAATTGTTAAACAAAGATTGCCCAATATTGCTGAAGCCAAAACTAAAGAAATGTCAAGATATATATGTAAGAACTAGAAATAGGTTGATGCTGTCCTTATTTGTCTAGAAGACTTTTTAGTTGAATCCTAGCAAACTCAAAGAAATTTGGACACTTTAATTGTCCAAGATGATGATGTTGCTCATGTAGTTGATAAAATATTTAAAGAGTTTATCACAATATTCACTTTCAGCAATTATTGAGCTACTAATTTTCATTTTTGAAAATGAATTTTAAGATTTAGATATTAATCAATTTGATTTATTATTTCTTTTTCGAATTTATAATTATTAGATTGATGGGGTTTTGGGGTTTTGGGGTTTTGGGG